TTTTTATATTTGTAATTTGTATAATGAGTGAGGTCAATAATAATGTCATAACTAGTATTGACACACTAGTTAATACACTAATTAGTGCATGTAACACTATCGATAAGGTTTACATGGTCAAAGCCCTCTTCAACAGGTTGGTTGTATAATTTAAATGAGTTGATTATAATGTATTCTAATATGAGAGTTTGTGTTATACTATTTTCATGCAATTTTTTTTGTTTATAGTTTATTAAGTAGAAATACCTTGAATAAGTTGATCATTTAGAAGCTAATAAAGGGGGGAGAAGGGGCTACTGTTGTGGCTTAAGGCACAACAATTATTGTTGCCCTTTTGTGGGAGGTCTTCCCGAGTATTTTTCGATGATCTAAACTGTTCATATTATAGGGTTCATCAAGAATATTATTCATGTAAAAAATCAAGTTAATCAGATATTCATAACCCAATAATTAGGTCCTAATTGTTTTAAAAATTTATGCAAATTATGTTAATCGTTAATTTTTATAGAAACAAATGTGTTTTGGTTGTAGGATTACGAATATCCAATCAACTTGATTTTTTATATGGATAATATACTCGACGAAGCTTACAATATGAACAGTTCAGATTATCAAAAAACACTCAGAAAGATCTCCCACAAGGGGCACAACAGTAACTGTTGTGCTTTCGGGCACACTTGTACCCCTTCTCCCCATAAAGGGACTCAAAAGGCTAGTATTGCTTCTAGGCAACATCATTTCGAGCCTCTTTTCATATTGTAGAATTCGTCGAGTAAAATATTTATACAGAAAATTAAGTTGATTGGACATTTGTAACCCTATAACAAAAGTAAATTTGTTTTTATAAAAATTAACGATAAACATAACTTTCATAAATTTTTAAAAACAATTAGGACCTAATCATGGAATTATGAATATCCGATTAACATGATTTTTTATATGAATAATTTTTTTGATAAATCTTAAAATATGAACAGTTTAGATCATCGAGAGAAAAAAAAAAACAAAAAAAAGGCATGCTTTTGGTAGTTAGTAGGTCCCTCATAGCAAAAACAATCACCAAACTCATACCCTCGATACCCTTGAGAACCTATCTTTATTAAAAAGAATATGACTCGCTTTTAACTTATACCTTCATATTATTAACTTTTAACTTAATAAATTGTACTAAACAAAGTCAATGTAAATAGTTTTGACTAATGTGATTATTATCAGTCCAAACAAACACAATTATGAGTCTTCCTAGGCTACCATTTGCACTGTATAGTAAAAAAAACCTTTTTCTTACTAATCTATAAAGAAAAGGGATTATTGCTCTCGTTAGTTTAAAAAGTACAAAGGGTACTTGATATGAGTCCAGATCCCCTCCTTGAGCTCCCTCCTTCATTCCCTCCTTGCAGGGGCCTTCGGGTCCACTTTGAGGCCTAGTTTTGATAATCCGAACCGTTCATATTTTTAGATTTATTCAGTATATTATACCTGTAAAAAATCAAGTTGATCGGATATCAGAAAGTATGCGTTCAGAAAATTGGGACTACAAACTATTTTTTAATAAACAGTTTTCCGAACACATACTTTATGATATTCGATCAACTTGATTTTTTACAGGTATGATATACTGAATAAATCTAAAAATATGAACGGTTCGGATTATCAAAACTGGGCCTCAAAGTGGATCCGAAGGCCCCTACAAGGAGGGAATGAAGGAGGGGCCTCAAGGGGAGGATCCCAATTCACTTGATATATCCAAGAATGCAAAGGTAATATAGTAAAAACCTTTATATGATATGCATAGCTGTTAGGCAATATGCTAAAAGATCACAATATCACGTGGAACTATTTTAAAACCATAAAAATGCATTAAGAGCATGGGAGACAACTTGGGTTCAGGCCAACGTGTAGTTTGGCCAGGAGGCCCAGGGCCCAGCTCAAGATATCGTGATATACCAAAAGTGTTAAATCCAAGTCACTGGGGAAAGTGTTTTAAGTTTTTTTTTATATATATATTATTATTTATTAAACCTGACTTCTTACAAAATTTTATTTTTTTATACCAGTTGTTTTAAATGTATTTCTAAAACTCAAATTATCTTTTTAAAAAAATTAAAATTTTCAACAATAAGAATTTTTTAATTTTACTCTGGTGAACTTTATTAGATGACGCTTTAAGTGGCTTGGTTTAAATTTATGATTTGAAAACTTGTAACGTCTCAATTCTTCATATGTCATCGATATTATCTGTTTTAGACCACGTCCGCACAAATGTGTTCTTCCCAGTGGGTCACCCATCTCAGAACTACTCCAGCCAGCCTAAGCACACTTAACTAGGGAGTTCTGTTAGGGATTTCACCACTCGAGAAAAAACCTCGATACTATATAAAGGTCCAAGTTTTTACTTTTATAGCCCAGGAACTCCATCTCCATTCCTGATATGAGACACAGGGACTTTACAAAACCCGATTTCAAAATTTTCTATGATAAATTAATTAAAGTCATTTTAAAAAAATAAATTAATTAAATACAACTTCATTGAAGTTTTTTTAAACTTGCATGAGGCTTTGTTTGGGATATAAGTTGGTTTTTCGACTATTTTAATATGGGGTTAAAAAGTGTCGTTTAAAATGAGTTTTTTGACTTTTTTAACTTTTGCAAGAGAAAAAATAAAATGATTATGGTTTGGATATGACATTTTTTAGCCTAGGACTAAAAGTTTACTTTATCTTTTTGTGATTATTTTAGCCCAAACTCGCCCCACCCCATCATGCCAAACCAATGCTGAGTTTGAAAATTTTATTTTCAAATGACATGAGTTTAATAAATGAATTAAAAAATATATACTCAAAAGTGTGTGTGTATATATAGGTAAATTACACTTTATACCCCCGTCCTTTGCACCAAATCTTATTTTGGCCCCTACACATATAATATAACAATCAACTCCTTGTACTTCTGGTCAAATCTCGCTTTGGTCCCTATACATGAAATCGTGATAGTCAACCCCCTGCACTTTTGCTCAAATCTCACTTTGGTCCCTACACAAATGTCAATGTCTCTTTTCTGTTACTTCATTTTTAAATTTTTAACAAAATCCAATCATGTGACAAAAATGTGAATATGAAATGAGGATAAGAGAGGAAAATCATTCATGTTTCCCACTAATACACTTTGTCCTACATGATAAGCACGTGAGAGTTATATAATATGGTATGTGTATGTGTGTGTGTGTTCGTATGGTAAAAATTGCGACGAATAGGCAAGAAAATAGAGCTTTAGAAATAAATAAAAAGTGCGATAAAAAAATCAAAGAGAAAGAAAGATGAATAAACAAAAGATTGTGTTACCGTAAAGAACAGAGTTTCTTGGTTCCAATTTATTCAAAATCCTAGTTCATCTTCTTAATTGTTTACAATCTACGTTTTGTTTTAGCCTAATACAATCATAATTTGATGTAAATTTTGAAATAAAGTATGTATTGGTAGAAAATGTAGATCATTTCGCTCTTTTATCTTCATATCGTAGTCATACTCTTGTCACGTGACTAGATTTTGTTAAAGATTTAAACAACTAAGGCCCAGCTTGGGGACTTACCTTTTTAGCCAAAAAATCAAAAAGTTATCATTTTAGCCAAAAAGCCAACAACTCATACCAAAAAATCAAAGATTCTCTTTTCTCTCTACTTTTTACACATCTTTTCGTAATTAGCTAAAAAATTATCTCAAACATATAAGTTTTTTTTACCTACTTTTTTAGCCAAAAAATTACTAAATTAACCTGTTCCCAAACGAGGCCTAAGTAACAAAAATAGGACATTGACACCTGCATAGAGATCAAATTGAGATTTGACCAAAAGTACAAGGGGTTGATTATCACAATTTCATATGAAAGGACCAAAGTGAGATTTGACCAGAAGTGTAGGGAGTTAACTATCATAATTTCATGTGTAGGGGTTAAAAGTGAAATTTGGTGCAAAGTGTAATTTATCCATGTATGTGTAATTTACCCATGTATATTTATATATATATATATATATATACATGTGCTTTGTGCAAAAGGAGAAAGGCATGGGGACATGGGGAAAAAAAGTTGGTGCATAATTGGGGGAATATTAATGTAGCATCACATCCTTTCTTGCAATTTGCATCATCTTCATGTCCCAACACTACTATAATTATTTATTTTATTTTATTTTATTTTTGGCAAGTCACTACTAGAATCATTAGCATGTTCTTTCTGATGTGTATGTACATTGCGTTAATGGTGAGATTAAATTGCAAAACAATTGGGCCCAACCTACACATGGGGGTGCTTTCCAATTTTCTGGTAACTTGACCTCCAATATCATCTTCATCATTACTAGTGATTGGACCAAGCAAAAAAGCATATGGATGATTTGCTTTATCATTGAACTTGTCATTTTACAAATTAGTAATCTACATTACTTCCAAGAATGTACTATCAAGTTAAACCAATGTATGAAAATTCCAAAACTGTACAATTAGGACCTCGCAAAACCATATGATTCTTGCGTATATTTCTTTTAACTTTTTTGCTTGGTCAGTTAGGGAGTTGTAAACAAGTCAAATTGAAAAATAGATTATTAAAATTTGACTTAAGATTAATGTGTTTACGTTTAACTTGTTTACATAACAAGTTGATATTGAACAAATCTTGTAACAAGCCGAATATAAATCGCACCAACAGCCTAGTTCATTTCACTTAATTGTAGAGTATTTTCTTGTTAATAAATTATTTGTCAATTTGAATGAAATATAAGTTTCAAATCCAATTGATTTTGGTGGATCAACAAGTTCTTACAAAACTATAAGGCTTTTTTATTATTTCACCCAAAAAAAAACCACTAGCAAAAGCCACCCCTTAATTTCCAAGAAGCTGTTCAAGAAAAGGGAAGTTTTATTAGCTTGCAAATGACACTAGAAGCTGTTTGTTGTGACTTTAATAAGTTGCTTATGATTTTCCTTATTTTGAGATTGTGTTGCAGCTTATGCATTAAAAATAACTTAATAAGTTGTAAAAATCCAATTATCTTAACACTAGGGAGGGTACTTTTAGATTCGACTTACAGATCATCACCTTCAATTTAGAATAAGTTGCGACAGACAGACCCTAATAGCGGGATTTGAAGCACAATGGTAGCTGAGAGACTTGATTCTCTTTTTGAGAAAGACAAGGTAAAAGGTAGGGTCAAGCATGGCTAGTGGACAAAAGTTGGTGTTGATGCTTGAACCTCCTTGCAGTCACTTTTCAGATTGAGCCCTGTGAGATGAAGGAACTTGTGTTTAGTTCATCCATTTTTGTCAAAGAACAAGAAAAGGTATAATTTACTTTAATGTGACATTGATGTGTCAAAGACTATGCTGTAAACAAAAATAGTGAGAGTGGTTGATTTCTCAAGGTTTCAGCCAAATCACAATCACTCTACTTCTTGACAGTGGCAGTTTCATTGCTAGATTCGAAGAATGTACAAGTTAATCTAACTAATAAACCTATCATCATGACATAAATAAAATAATAGCATGTTAAATTTTTTAAAATTAAAAAAAATAATATAAGACTGCAGTCACAAAAAAGTAAAGCATAAATCATGCCTGAAGTGAATTAGTTTCTCATCATATTTTCTTTTCCTGGTCGTCTTCAAGATTGCCAATTAAGAATTAAATAATTTCCTTTGCGTTTTTTTTTTTCTTGCCCTCAACAAATCCAGAAACAATGCATTAATGGTGGGGTATCATTAAAGTTCTTCCAATTTGAACAAATACTTGCCAACATGATCTCATAATCCTAGAAAAATATCATCAATCAATTTTCTATATGCACTTCTTGTTGCGCATTTGCTTCGAAAATGAGGAAAAACACTAAACAAAATGGCTTCATAGCCTTTGCTAGTGCAACTGTGGTCTAAAATTTATATTAAAACCACACACATATATACACCTTAAAGAATTGATCCATCAACGATTACCAAGAAGGTCTGTCAATATTCTACATTCAGTAATTTCATAGTGTTACCTTATTCACAAAACTTTGGCTATAAATAATCTTCTTCACTTGAATCGCAATCAAAATTGGATGTACAAGATACTGCATCATTTGATGCCTGCTGTAGGAAACCTAGAATGCTATCTCTTGAAGAACTTGAAGTGTCTTTTGATGAACCTGGATGGAAGATCAACAATAATGAAAAGCGAGTTACTACTGCAAGGTAGTGTAGGATTTCTTACAACCTCGTAAGTAGATGTTCCTAATGCTTTATTTGGTTCACTGGAATAATAATGGAATGGTCATTCCTTAGACTCCCCTATGGAAGGATCATATCCTTACAATGGTGAATGATAATTCCATTTGCAATACATTTTTCATTTTTTTTTTAGTCAACCAAACATGGGAATAGATACGTTGATGGAATGATCAATCATTCCATTCCACTTCATTCTAGTGAACCACACACAAAGGAAATAATTTAACAAGCCCATTGACACAAATATTTGAAACAAAAACTAGAAACTGTTGAATTGACAGGGATTGATTCAAGACAATGAGAGAGTAGTATTAAACAAGGATAGCTATCAATCAAGTAATGAAACTCTTGGGACCAAAACCAAATGAATATTTTCATTTGAACCATGGATGCTTACATTGCAAGAGAAGTGACCAAAAAACTTTCTAAGTTAGTTACAAGATCTACATCTTTTTAATCATTTAGCCTTGGCCCTCTTGGAAAGAATTATAGATTGTTCACCATTCAATGATAAAATCAAATGCCCTAGTGACAATTTGACAGAGAGATAGAGAAGAAAGAAACTAAGTTACCCATTCTAGATGCTGTGCTGTGATGCCAGAGATATTTCCCGAATATATGCCTCCTAAGACCTGACGAGTACCCCCACAGACATACCAAAAAAGTGTATGTCAGTGATCTCACAAAATCGTGCTCACACTTTTCTTCTACAAAAGAAAGAGATTTTTCCAACTAGCCAATGAGGTGATTGCAACACATTATATAGATGACTGGCAGTAAAGTAAAGCCTACATGAACTCGAGGACATCCATGATTTTTTTATCAAATTCAATGAATTCAACATTTTTCGATATATCATGTCCTCAAGTTCACTAGGCTTGAAATAACCGCACTAACTAATACTACACTATGAGCATAAATGATAGTGACAAGTACCTTAGTGACAGTCTCAAGAAACATGCCAGGCCGCACAGGTAATGGTTTATACCCTGTAACACTAGCCTGGAAATCACGACAATAGGGTCAGCATACCAACAGCAGTCCCAAGCATACATGCATTCATCTAGATTACAATATTTTATTCATTTTTTGCGTTTTGGTTTTTATAAACAATCTTCATATTCAAGGTGATAGTACTTACCCTGCCTGCAATTCCACTTGAAACATGAGTAGTATTTTCCTCATCACTGCTGGAGTTGTCTGCACCTTCATCTTTTCCCTGCATCACATTTTTTATCATCTCCTGCACAGTTTTCCCAGGCCTCAGAGCTACAAGCTTAGTTAAAAAGTTGACCTGCATTGAAACAAGCTCGCAGTAAAATTAAAAATATCAATTAAAAAAAAAAAATTAGCAGGTAAGTTGCAACAGAAATCATAATTTTTTTTAAAGCTGTTTCATGAGGAATAAGTTATTTAGGAAAATGAATTAGCCTGGTTTTCCAATCTGATTCATGATTTTAAATCTCCAAATAGATATAAACTGACCTCTGATTCAGGAAGCGTATTTAAACCACGGTCATTTCTCTCGTCTAGTATTCCACCTCCCATCATATTCCTAGCTTCCTCTCTGATCAAAACAAGCCTTGCGAGTAGCCTTCTATCCGGGACCACAGGTCGGGATTCCATTGTCTGCAAAAATAAAGAAGCATCCAGAAGATAAAGTAATCCAAACGCATTATATACTGATAGACACCCTACATAACTACTTTGACACATTGTTATATTAGTGATTCAATGAGACATACGAATAGGAAAACTTAATCGTTAACGTTAGTCAAATCAGAATAAGTTTCATGAAAAGATGCATAATTCTTGGTAAAATCTGAGTAGAATCACTACCCTGGGATGCCAATAAAAAATGCTTTCAAGTTTTTGCATGAAGAGACTATTAAGCCACCAATTTTCCCAACAGCTTAAAGTTAGGGAAATGGGCCCATGTATTATTGAGCTATCCAACACCTTCCCTCACATGCAACCCATCTTGCATGTGGAGATGCAAATAGACATACATAAAGAAACATAATTCAAATAGAGAGACTTGAACAACATACCTCCCCTAACCTAAGCTCTGGTAGAACACCACTAGTCCCAACAATATATACCAAGCTCTCCAACACTCTCCCTCACATGCAATTCCGTCTTGCACGTGGAGATGCAAGCATCCTTACACACAAAGATTTTTGAATGCAAACAAGAGAAGAATGCAAAAGGAGACTAAATGCAGACAGTGAAACTTGAACCCAATATCTCTCCCAACTTGAGCTCCGATACCATGTTTAAAACACATTGTTTCAAAAGCATAAGTTGTTAGGAAATTGCCCAACAATGTATGAACCATTAATGGATAAACTAATAATTGAGCTTCACTTAAATTGTCAAGAAAGAGTGCCAATTTTACTTTGATATAATGAAAAACAAAATATGAAACGCAGTAGATCCACAGTACACTATTGGCTACGTTGATTTGGCTGCATACCATTGTGATTGTAATGTTTGTAAGCTGTATTATTGAAAAACACAAAAAAGTTGAAGACGTGTTTGGTCTTGTTTTTTTAAACTGTTTTTTGTTCTCAAAAGCAGAAAAAGCGGAAATTGGCATGGAAAATTTATTTGGCAAATTGTTTTCGAAAACTATTTTTCTGAAAATTTTTATCTTATTTGAAATGTGAATAAATTTCGAAAACTATTTTCTCAAACAGTGCATCCAACCCCTCAACAGTACAGATTATGGAATTTAGAAAAATAAAATAAAATTTGTCTTATTTGATATGTGAATAGTAACTTTAGATGCCTGCCACATTGTTGTTGCCATAGGGTGATACATTCATCATGGAATAACAAAGTCCCAACCTAAGTTTTCAAACATGAATTCCACAACCCCTACTGAATAGTGCAAACCAACAGTTAATGAACCCCGATAATTTTTTAGAGAAAAAGAAGAAAAGAACCTACGAGGAAGGAATGGAAATAAAGTGCATAAACGTAACCCAGCAAAGAGGAATACATCCTATTTAGATTATTACCACGAAAAGGAATTTCGTTAACAAAGAAAATAGAAAATCCCAACACAATGATTTCTCTGACCTACTACTTTAAAAATTAAGACAAGAAGTTTCTTCTCTCCCGTCATAATATATCTTCTTCTTCTTTTTTCAAAATTCAGTTGTCGCCATTCTCATCTGAAAATAAGTTTTATTAACTATGAGTTAAACAATTTTTTCAACAGATATTATAGTTCCAAATGCAAGGTAAGAGGTTATAAAGCAAATCATGCAGGAAGCTTTCAAATAATTACCTCCAGTAAATCATCAGCCTGGTTGGCTATTTCATTTAAATTTGCTCCTGGAAGATGAATTTTCGTGCCATTCTCACTTTTAAATGCACCACCACCTGCAGCAACACGTCGAAGTAATTCCTGTCTGCTCTCTTTCTCAGGGGTTCTACAAAGAAGGCCAATCACTTGAACCTAGGAGGTTTATAACAGAAAAGCATAGCAATCAATACAAGGTAAGATCTGCAACAACCTTATCACCAAAATTAGTATATCATGCATTTGAGTTCAGAAGCATCCTCACATGTGGAGGGCATTTTTTTGTAAGGTGGGATAAAACAGTCTCCTTGATCACCTCCAGGATTGACTTGCGCTGCAGGGAATCAACTGGCAAATTGTCAAAAACCATTGCTGATGCCCACATAATGTTTTTTTTTAAAATCAAATTACGAAAATCCGATGATAACTAAATAAATAAATGCTGAAGAAAAGAAGAAAAAAAATTGACCAATAAAAAGGTAATGAGCTCCATGCAAAATACAACAGAAACTATGCAACGGTAGTGCAAGTGTAACACAGAAGAAAAGCCAACAGGTGAAGCACAACACTCCTCAGCCACAATTGCCACCATAATTGCTGCTCTCAGTAAAATACATGAAGCAGCTCCAATTGAGAATGGGCACCAAGCCACCAATTAGGATGAATGTGCACTCACCACTACCATTGCAGTTATAGTCAAAATCAAAATCATCAGGCTTGCCAACATTACAGCCAAAATCAATATCATCATTCAAACACCTTTTCAAAGGTCTAGAAACTTTCATAAAATTAAAAAGAACTTTTATCCTTGGAGTGCAAACTGTTTAAATGTGACAAAAAGATACTGCAATAATGTGCCATGGAGACTGCATCACCCAATAGACACTGAAGGAGTGATTTATGCTGATAAGGATCACAATTAACTGTTATAAAAAAAAGAAAAAACAAATGTCCCATTTCAGATCATAAGATTTCTACTGAAAGCATTGGCACTATTGTATGAGAAAAACCCTCATATATTGTTGAAATGCTATACGTCTTAGATAGAAAAGCCACTGCCAATTAATAGAGGACTGTCCATTTCAATATCAAACCATACAACATCAAAATTGGATATCCACCATGTAAATAATTCAGGTTCAACGAAAGATTTTGATAACAATAAGAATAACAACAACAACAACGATTGCAACAACAAAAATTACTTGATAGATAAATAGTTTAGTTAAACTCAATGAATAAACATGAATATGTAAAGATAGTACCAATTGATGGCCCTCCAAAGTATGAGAAAGTGAAACAAAAGGTTGAAATTAGTACTTTGTCATCTTGGTCCTTCTCAGCAAGTTGGATCATGTAATCTAGGGCCATCATAAACCCTGACTCCATCTGATCAACTCTCTTCCCAATAACTCCTTGTGCAGCCAACTCCACTGCCAACTTCTCAGATCCTTCATCCATGTTCATATCTTCCAACTGCACCCACATGTAAATAACAAACAGTGATTTACAAAAAAATATTGCTTCCTTATGTCATCAGAAACAACTTAAAAAACTTTGAAGCAATGTTACTAAAGCTTCCAAGAATAGGCTTGTAAAGAGCACATAGAGTAATGATTATGAATTTTGCAACCTACGATAACATATTTATATTTTCTACATATATAATCCATGCACTACAAATGTAGCTCGGTTTCTGAGTTAACAGCTTGAATTGTGCACGGTTGATTCAACTCAACAAGTCGTTGTCTCAACTGCAAATTGTCAAAACGAGGTAAGAATATGTAGCATTTGTGATACTCAGAATATAGTAGGCAGGTTGAGTCAAAACAAAAAGGGCAAAATTATGTCTATCTTGGAAATTAAACATAGCAAGTCACCTCAAAGAATGAGGGTTCTGACCATTGCAATATTTTCAGAGATATGAGGAAGATGACTGTTGACTCCTCAAATGACTGATAGCATAGTGTAATAATAACACCCATGCTGATCCTAAACAAATCAGTATATCCACTTAACACTCAGAGACAGTTTTTTATGACAAAGAACACAATTAAGTTTGGATTTTGTTTTAAAAGGTCTTCAGCACTCAATAAATTTATTACATCTTTCATTGTTTGCAAATTTAATATGTGAATATAAGTTCAACATTTGGTAGCCGTGGACCCAGGACAAGTGGCAGGGATGCAAATGTCAAGGTTAAGCTAGTGTACATTTCCTTGAATTTTTCGGTTGCTTAGTTAACAAAAACTAAACTATGAAGTGAATAACAAGATTTATTGTTAATGACTTAGAGAGGAACTCTTTTCCCCCATTGTTTAGGAAAAAGTGATATGTTCAACGAAAGTTCTTACCGTCCTTCAACTATTAAGCCTCAGTTTTCAAAAGAATCGTAATCTGAACAAGAATACTGTGATTTTAATGTCCTCAACTAGAAATCCAGTATCCAACCCTGACAGCAAAACAAACTTAGTAATTTTCAAAGTGGAAAGGTGACCCACAGTAAGCAATGCTGCAGGACTTGTACCCAGAAATAGTATTACGATGACCAATTGCAAATCGGGTCCCATATTAACAAATGAAATACAGGGGAAACAATGAAGAATATCATACTATACAAATCAAAAATCAAGAATAAGAGCAAATTTTCCTAGAATTGATGACCCTTAAGCCTGATGCATTAAGCAAATTTCTAATCTCTACATAACAAGGCATCTCATCACAAAACCAAAATTATGCATATTGATTGGGATTAAGAGAATGAAAACATATTACGTGGTAAAAACATTGCAGAATCATGTCATTAATCATTACAAGGCCGACATACCAAACAAACAAACAACTAGCCTAAAACGAGAGAGAGAGAGACTACCACCATAAAAATTAATAAACAGACAGATTAGAATTTCCGCTGCCGCATAAGAGCAACTTTAAGCAAGCATTCATATTTTTGTATGGCAAGTATACCCTGTATTTCCTTACATGTCTGTTGGCCCTCTAGTTATCTTAGGTACAACCTGAAATGTGTTTGCAGATGATAACGAGCAACTGCCAACCGTGACCCACATCACTCCAGATAATCAATTTTACATTAATATGCATCTTATCATGGAGAAACTTCAGATTATTCAAGAAAAACCTCCGACATTTTAAAACAAGCAAATTAGGTGTAAGGAACACCCAATTAAAGAAAAGGGTTTTGGGTTTATCCATGCTATAGTTTGCAAGTAAACCAAGCTGTCCAATCAACAATCTAGAAAGTCTAAAATAGGCATCCATGGAACTTGAAAATTAATTGAATAAGAATAAAAGAAAATACAAAAATCATTCAACCAAGAAACACTTGAAGGTAAACAGACTCAGTTTCTAGCAAACAATAAAGGGTTTAGGGTTTTAAGGGCAAAAAATTCACAAAGAATATTAAGATAATTGAGGAGAGAAGTAGTTACAAGCTTGGCAATCTCTTCAAGAACAGAGGTGACCTGTTCACCTCCTTTGAGGAGAGCTTCATACTGAGAAGCGTTCCATTTAGTTTCCTCTGCTTCTTTCCTTCCTCCACTTGTATCTGAGAAACCTCCATCGACCTCATAGCTAGCGCACAGCCTCAACAATTTTCGTTTCTCGAATCGCCGCTTCAGTTGCCACTGGTGAGTGGAAGAAGAGGGAAGCGGCGATGTAATGAAACAAAAGGATGATAGAGAGTGAAGATTGGAAGACGGTCTGTTTAGGGTTACGAAGGAGGCCATGGAAGAAGAAGAAGAACGATGATGATGGAAATGGAGGAGAGACTCTGCGTGCATCTGAAGCAGCATAAAATAAAAAGAAATATAATCAGCGCCGTCTGTGGGAATCGAACCCACGACCACATGGTTAAAAGCCATGCGCTCTACCAGCTGAGCTAAGACGGCTTTGTTGTTTCTAATTTTTATTATTTATTTAAATAGTGTATTTAAATCCTTGAATAATACATCCATAAAATTTACGATAATGATAGGCTAATTCTTTTGATCCATGCTTTGATAACAAATAATGTTGGGCCATTTTTGCTTAGGCCCAACCCATGAGGCTATGCATTTTTTGGTTCTAGTGTTGGGCACAAGTCCAATAGTGCTGGAATATGGAATTTATTTATGATTTATAGTTGAAAGATAATCTATATAAAAGAAAAAAAAATGTTATATAAATCTTGGAAATTATGTTACTAAACTTGTGTAAATATTATGGGATCATAAAATGTGATAACTTTTTGCTTAATGAAGTAGTAACTAATTATCTGAAATATCTTATGGTTAGAAATATGATAAAATAATGTTAGTATAAAATATTAAGATTAAGATGAACGTGTAATGTTATTCTTATAATGATAAATATAAGTGAAGGATATTAATAAATATATATATATATATATATAACCTAACATTCTATAAAAAAAAATCATAATAATAATAAACAAATTTTGTTTATATAAAATTATCTAAATTGTATTATAATTAGTTAAGTAGTTGAATAGAAACTATTTTTTTTATCAGGGGAAGAGAAGATTAACCTATCCCATAAAATAAATTAAAAAAAATAGTATAAAGTATACACTTAACTCTAGAGTCAAGACTAGTCCAACTTTGGAGTGTTCAATCATATTAATCTAATACACAATTACCTTTATCCAAACAGAGAAATAGTATATAATTTGTATTGAGATTATGGTGAGCAAGTAGACATGTAATCAGGAATAAACAAACAAAAATGAAAAAAATCCTCACTTGCAAAAAGCAAAGCAGAGAGCAAGTGTGGTTTGGGGGAGAAAGGTTCTCCCCTTAAATCCTCTCCTTGATTTTTTATTTAATAGGTTATTGGGCTTATTTTTAAATTCAATTTTGATAATTCAAACCGTTTATATTTTAGAATTTGTTATGTATATCATATTTATAAAAAATTAAATCGATTGGATATTAAAAATCATGTAAACTAAAAAATTTATTAAACAATAAAATTATTTATTAATTTTTTTAAAACAAACAATTTTTAATTCTTTTAATATTTAATCAATTTAATTTTTTATAAATATAATATATATAATAAATTTTAAAATATAAATCATTACAATTAAATTCAAATTTTAATTTAATGACCCATTAAATAGAGAGTCAAGAAAATGATCTTGCCCTGACTTGGGGGGCAAAACCAAAGAAATCCATTCCATGTGATGCCAAAAAGTTCCAAACCCCGGTTCGGAAATTCCTGACCAGACCAGACCCCCTTAATCCATGTGTCGGAAATGTCAGTTGTGAGAATTCAAAATTGTTGGGGTAATATTGTAAAATCACCCCCCTCCTTCTCGAAAATTCCACTCTTGCTCCATTGTCCATACTACCCCTCTATAATAATCATATTTGCAACTATCCAGTATTTTGCGACTTTTGGTGAATAGTGATAACTTTTTAACTTTTTGAGTAACTTTTTAACTTTTTGACTTTTTGGGGTGTTCCCAAACTTGGCCTAAATCGAGAGTCAAGAAAATGATCTTGCCCTGACTTGGGGGGGCAAAACCAAAGAAATCCATTCCATGTGATGCCAAAAAGTTCCAAACCCCGGTTCGGAAATTCCTGACCAGACCAGACCCCCTTAATCCATGTGTCGGAAATGTCAGTTGTGAGAATTCAAAATTGTTGGGGTAATATTGTAAAATCACCCCCCTCCTTCTCGAAAATTCCACTCTTGCTCCATTGTCCGTACTACCCCTCTATAATAATCATATTTGCAACTATCCAGTATTTTGCTGGTACATCAAAAATAAAAAATGTCTACGAGCAACTTTCATTCAGCAAGATATATTAGAGCATTTTTTACACAATTTTAAAATTTCGAGATTTTGTTGATATGTATATATATATATATATTAGCGGTCGGCCATACGCAATGAGTGTGTAAACTCAATTAAAATTATAATATGAAATTGATATTTTTTTAAATAATATACATATATATAATTATGTGCTATGTAACATTTCATATTAATATAATGAAACATTTCATTTTATAGAAAGTATAATTAACAGTATTACACCAAAAAAATAAATACAAAAACACAAATCCAAGTCACTTAGAGCACTGAATTTTTTTTAAGAACACTGAATATTTTTTAAAAACAAACACAATTAAGTAGCAAACAAACTAAATTTGTAAAAACTGAATTTATACACAAAAAATAAACAAATGCTTGAAAAAATAAAACAGGAAAAAAAAAACCCCAAAGTGTTTAAGTCTAAGGCCCGGTTTGGTAGGACTTATTTCCAGCTTATTTAAATTTTTAGTTTAATTTAAGCTATTTTGATGTGTTTGGTTCAGCTTAACAATACAACTTATAGCTTTTTGTAAGTCAAAAATCAACTTATTATTTGAGTAGGAGAGGAGAAACTTTATTTATAAGTCAAAAATTAACTTATGTTCACAGTTATATGCTATAAGCTGTTAAGTTATAAGTTATAATCACTTTCCCACGACTCTACCAAACAAGGCCTAAGTCTAATTTAAAAAATTTCACACATATGGTGCCAAATTATTCAAATAAGCCTGCATGAATATGAATTAAGAACCTAAAAATTAATTTAATGAAAATACAAAAAACACTTTTTTTTTTTCAAAAACACACACACAAAAAATTAAGAACAATGATTTTTTTATTTTATTTTTTTCAAAACACACACACAATGAAACTTTTTAAAGAAGAAAAAAAAATACATAATAGTTTTCTCACAAAAGTAACACACACAAAACAAATCAAATTATAAAAAAACTGAATTTATACACAAAAAGAAAGAATAGCTTAAAAAGTGAAATAGGAAAAAATTCAAAATTATTTGGTTTTCCTTTTGGGCTAAATAAGCACAAAAGGTCAAAAAAAAAAATCAAAAAATCACAAAAGGACAAAATAAGCAAAAAGATAAAAAAAAAAAATACACAATTCCAAAGCCAAAAAGTCAAAAAAACCAAATAAGAATACCAAACAACTAAAAAAGTCAAAGGCTAAAAAAGTCAAAAAATCAACTAAAAAAGTCATTGCCAAACGAAGGCAAGTTTCTAAAAAATTGCACATAGGTGTCAAAGTGTTTAATTAAAAACACTCATAAATATTAAGAACTTAAAAATTAATTTAATGAAAATACAGGAAATACCGATTTTTTTTAAAAAAACACACACACACACATAATTATGAACATTGATTTTTTATTTTTTTATTTTTTTTCCAAAAACACACAATGAAACTTTTTAATGAAGAAAAAAAATACATAATAGCGTTCTCAATCAATATATTTTTTTCTCCAAAGAACCTAATTACATAATGAAACTTTTTATTGAAGAAAATAAAAATATAATTAACAATACTACACTTACAATGTAGGATAACCAGTAGATATATATTTCAGATACAACAATGATAGAGACCACTAATTTTGGAACTCTAAAAAGACCACTAATGACATGGCACTCAATAAAAAAAGAAAAAAAATATAACACCAAGGCCAAAATATCAAATCATTCATAGTGGGGCTTACTGTCACATCATTAGTGGTAGCACTAATTAGTGTTCCCACTCATTTTCCTTTCAGATAACCACTCAACAAAGGTGGAAGAGAATCATAAGATTGCAATGTTCTTGAATAGTATTTCTCCCAACAAAAAGGAAAAAATCACTGAACAAATAAAAGGGAAGATTTTACAGTAAATAAAGAGAGGGGCGAAGATCTTGAAACTGTTTAGAACTGCATGGCAGTTTGAAAATGTGGGAGGTGAGATTGGTTGGTATCATGAGAAGTGGGTTTGGTTGTAATTTATTATTTTACCCTTAATTACAAATTGATAAGTATAAAAATAATATAATTATTCAAGAAATTAGGATTATTTTAGAAAAAATTAGAAAAAATTTATGAGAGTGGCTTCATGATACCAAAATTGTTGTTCCCTTTTAATAATAGAATAGATGAATATTTTTACCTTTGAAATTAAAGACTTGAAGATTTAATTTGTTATGAGATTCACATAATAGAATAAAATAAAAAACAATACAAGCTAGGTTTGAATATGTCAAATCGAACTTATCAAAGTCATAAAAAAACTTTGGCATTTTTATGGGACTGATTTGTAATACAATTTTTATTATTTGAAATTTCAAATATGTGGGTTTTTTCTATTTGACCCAAAAGTTCTCTTCACAACCATAATTATATATGTATAGTATTGGCCAAAATAATATATGTGTGGCTAAAAAAATAATTTGATTAATTAAAAGTATTTATTTCTTTACTAACCTACTAGTAAAAACTTGTGGTATGCATAAGATCTGAAAAATTAATAAAATAATATAAATAATTAGATTTTTGTATGTAAATTGTAAAAATGAAAATAAAAAAATTATTGACACCTATAATTTAAGTTTCACAATTTTATCACACAATTTATGTATCAATTTTTAATTTGTCACAATTTTAATAAATTTGGGCGAGTTCAATCCAAGCAACTTGAGTCAAGCTTGTAAATTTTTAAAAATTGGGTAACATAATTTTTAATTCGGTAAGAACCTATGTAAAATTAAAAAATAAATAAAAATTGAATGGTCTTGGTAAAGATACCAAATCACTTGAGCAATCAAAACAAAATTATATATATATTGAGTGAATTGAAAAAACAATTTGTATATATAAATATATAAAATTATTTGCTAATTTATTTTTTAATAATAAATAATATTAATTAAAAATATAATATTAATAAACAAAAACAAATACACCTTTTAGAAAGAGATCATCGAATAAGTTGATATTAAAAAAAATTACATTTTCTAGTGACATAAAATAA